GCCCCCTCCTCCCTCAGACCCAGGAGTCCAGACCCCCAGCTCATCCTCCCTCAGACCCTGGAGTCCAGCTCCCCGCCCCCCGCACCTCCTCCCTCAGACCCGGGAGTCCACACCCCCAGCCCCTCCTCCCTCAGACCCAGGAGCCCAGGCCCCAGCCCCTCCTCCCTCAGACCCGGGGGTCCAGCCCCCTCTCCTCCTCCACTGCGATCCCACCTCACTCGCGTGTTCTCTGGTCCTCAGGTCACAGGATGTCGGACACCGAGGAGCAGGAATATGAGGAGTGAGTGGCGCAGGCGGGAGGGCTGGGGGCGTGGAGACGTGGGACACTCTCCCACCTGCAACATGTGTAACCCGGCCTCTCGCCCTTTCTTCCCCACCCCTGCCCTCAGGGAGCAGCCCGAAGGTGAGTGGGGAGTGGGCGGGCTTCGGTGGCCTGGGGACACGCACGCGGGGGGGCGAGAGGACACCGGGGTCGCCCGCTGCCCCTCGCGCCCACCCTCCAGTGTGGCGGCGCCCCTCGCGTGCCCTCTCCGCACGGCCCGCGGCCCCACGGGGCTCCTGACCCGCCTTCTCTGCCCCCGCCCCCTTTCCAGAAGAGGAGGCTGCGGAGGAGGAGGAGGAAGGTGAGGCCTGGCCCCCGCAGGTCTGCAGCCCGAGCAGCCCCGCGGGGCCGGGTGGGGTGAGGGGGGCGCTGGTCGGGGCGGGGCCGGCGGGCACTGGGCTCGCGACCGTCCCGGCTTCAGGTCCTTTAACAGCCTCTCCCCTCTCTTTCCTCTCTGCCCCCTACACCCCTGCGTGGCCGCTCCCCCTCGCTCCCCCATCCTCGCTTCTCCCCCTGCCTCCTCCTCCCCAGCCGCCGAGGAGCCGGAGCCAGTGGTAGAGCGAGGTGACCGCGGCTGCTTCGCTTCCCGAGACGGATTTCCTCGGGCCCTGACCCCTGAGAGGACCCCCCTGCGCCCCCGTAACCCGCCCAGGCCCGGTCCTTTAAGCCCCGGAGAGCTCGCGCGCCCTCTGGTGTCCACGAAGGGAAATCGCCTCGCTGAGGCTTTAACCCTTTCCCTTCCTTCTTAAAGGGACCGACACCCAAGCCTTCTCCCCCAGACTGGAGGAATACTTGTGGAAGGGTTGGATGTTTGCGGACAGGCACCCCCGACCCTGTCATGTTTCCCCCCATATACATTCAAAGGTTGGGGCCCGAGATGCAGAAGGGGCTCTCCCTGAGAGTCTGGGTTCCTGTGTCCCCAGAGGGGTTGGGGCTGGCGACACTCTGCAGGGCTAGGTGTAAATGGAGAAGTGCAGGAACTCTGGGTATGTAGAAGGAGGAAGGCCTGGGGGGTTTGGACTCCTGGGTTCCCAGAGAAGTGGGAGGGGGATCCCCACACCAGTTCTGAATGTATATCTGAAGCGTGTGATCCTCTTCCTTCTTTACAACCACCCTGATTTCCCTTCTCCCCTCTTCTCCCCCCACTCATGCGGCTCCCCCAGACCTGCTCCTGGGAGCTGTTGCTTGGAGGAGGGGCTCCCTCCTCTGGGTGTGTCAGCCCCACCCCCACGAACTCTTGCTAATCATGTCTTTCTATCTCCCCACTAGAAGAAGAGCGCCCCAAACCAAGGTGAGATACTGCAGGGCTGGGGGGGTCCCAATCCCATCCTCCTAAATATGTCCCCCACTCCCAGAGACAGGGCATGAGAAAGGCAGAAAAGGAGAGTGGGGCACTTGGAACAGGAAAGGACAGTGATTCCTTCTCTCCGTGAATGGTCCGGAGAACGTTCCATGGCGTCTGGCGAGTCAGATCCCATCTGCTCTGTTGGTGAAACAGACCGGGATCCAGTGATGGTAGCACACACGCGGGCCCTATGTTTGCCCTCGGCAGTCATGGAAGGCTTCCCAGGGGAGGAGATTCCTGAATCACTAGCTGAAGAGGGTGGGAGGGTTATTGTAGAAGAGAAAGCTGAGGGGTACACGCCTGGGGCAGTGGCTGGATCTAGGCCACTTTTTGGGGGAAACAGATACAGACACAGGTCATTCTGATGATGAAGTTCCTAAACTAGGCAGATCTGTGGAGGCTATGAGAGCTCGTGGGGGCAGAGGGTCCTGGAGGAAGAGAAACTGGGTCCAAAGCTTGGAGATGCAGGGAGGCAGCAAGCTGAGCATGAGGAAGGAACCTAGAAGCAGACTTCTGTGGGCTGCCATGGGCAGTGGTGCCAGTTCCACTGTGGCCAAAGCGCAGAGTGTAAGAAGGGATGGTGTCGTGCGGGGTTTTGAGCAAAGAGGACTTTGGGTCAGATCTGAGAGAGAGAGCAAGGGGGATCAGGGAAAGCTTGTTGGAGGAGGGAAGGCCTCAGGGGATGCAGTATACCAGAGGAAGGGCATTGCAGGCAGAGGGAACAGGATATGCAAAGGTCCAGGGGTGCAAAGGCACATGCCATAGCCGGGGGACCATGAAATGTGTGTGTCTGTGAGGGAGGAGAGAAGTTGCTGGAGGAGTTGACTGTGGTCAGATGGAGAAGGGCTGTGAATGCTGGGTTGCTTGGGCTTTGTCTGAGCTCTGAGCTAAAGTCAGGAAGGGAGGTGAGCTGAAGGTGGACAGCCAGAGGCTGGGAGGCCAGGAGGAGGCTGGCTCATGAAGGCTCACAGGAGAGGGGCTGAGGCCTGAGCTGGGCAGGGGGCGTGGGGTGGAAAGGGGAAACAGACTGGGGAGATGACTAGGCAAAGAGGCCAGGACTTGTCGTTGGGGCAAGGGGAGGGAGGAGGTGGGCATCACCTGCCTGGGGTTTCTGCTGAGAACTGGAGGGGCAGTGCAGCACCCCCCTCTGCCTCCATCTTGGGGAGGTTGATGAGCTCAGTGGAGGCATGGTGCATGAGAATGCGGAGATGTTCAGGAGACGCTGGTTAACCTGAGTATGGGATCTCAGAGACAGCCTGGGCTGGAGACAGAGAGAGAGATTCCTGTGAATAAATAAAAGGGTGAAACCCTTAAAAGGGCTCTCTGGAGACGAGGAGACAGAAGTGGGACAGCCAGCGGAGTAGGAAGCAAATCGTCTGAAGGTGCTGTCTTAAAAAGCACAGAGGCACCCAATACGAATTATGAATTTAATGCAAGCCACGCGTGTAAATATATGTATTTTTACAAGTCGCACTTTAAAAAGTAAAACAGAACAGGAAAACAGGTAAAATTAATCTTTGTTGAATTTTTTATTCAACCCATTAAATTGGAAATTTAATCATTTTAACAGGTAGACGATAGGAGACATTATTAGTGAAATATATTCCATTCTTCTGTTTGAACCAAGTGTTCGAAATCCAGTGTGTTTCTCAGACAGCCCAGGGAATGTCGATTCGGACCAGCCACCTGTCAGGTGCCCCAAACCACGCCGGGCTGTGGCTGCCACACTGGACAGGACAGCCGGCGGGGAGCTCCGTCAGGGAGCTCAGGCTGCTCAGTCTTTCCCCCTTCCCACCCGCCAGGCCTGTGGTCCCGCCACTGATCCCCCCGAAGATCCCAGAAGGGGAACGGGTGGACTTCGATGTAAGTAAGGGACCTCCAGTCCTCAGATGCCTTTGTGCAAATTAGGAAGTGGTGCCCCTGGCTTCTCCCTCCTTTCGGAGCCTCCTAAATGGACCCAAGGGGCCCCCTAGTGCCCCTGCTGGGAACATCGCCAACAGCAGCCCCTGGTCCCCTAAACGGCCCAAGTCCGTCTTTGCAGGGAGGGCCCCGCCTCGATGCGCCTCAGAGGGCGCACAGGTGGGTGCCCGGTCCCCCGCACTGCCTGGAAGTGACGCCCCCCCACCCCCACCCCCACGTCCTGCAGGACATCCACCGGAAGCGCATGGAGAAAGATCTGCTGGAGCTGCAGACGCTCATCGATGTGCATTTTGAACAGCGGAAGAAAGAGGAAGAGGAGCTCATTGCGCTGAAAGAGCGCATTGTGAGTGGAGGGAGGCGGGGTTCCGCAGCATCCTCCCGACCTGGTGCCAGTGCCCTGCCGTCCTGCGGCTGGGAGTGCTTCCCGTCCAGTGCAGACCCTGGGCTGTCCAAGTCGGTGGCCACACTCAAACTAGCTCATCTCTGCTCTTGACCTCCTTGGGGACGGGGCGACCCTGCACCCCCTCATTCCTCTCCCTTCCCCCAGGAGCGGCGCCGGGCTGAGAGAGCTGAACAACAGCGCTTCCGAACGGAGAAGGAGCGTGAGCGTCAGGCCAAGCTGGCGGTGGGTGCCTCACCTGTCCTTCGAGACCAAATGCTACTTCTTAAGCCGAATGCTCTATTTCCCGTTCACGATCTTTTCTGCAGTCCTGAGGAAGGCAGGACTTCCATTGTGTTATTCAAGGATCTTTCTGTTGGAAGGGACAGAAACCCCAACCCAAATTGAATTCAGCAGAAAGAGAATTTTATCGGCTTATATAACTTAAAAGCAGTAGAGTGTGTCTGGCTTCAGGTATGGCTGGATCAAGGAACTCAAATAAGATCACAAAGACCCAGCTTTTCTCTTCCTATCCCTGGTCCCATCTTTCTGTGGACGCTGGGGGTGATGAGGTCGTCATGGGTTTGCTGGGGGTGATGAGGTCGTCATGGGTTTGTTGGGATGCATGGGATGTTCCTGGTCTGAGCCCTGAAAATCCTGTATCCCATCAGTCCCAGGTGAACCAGATGGTTGGTCACCCAATTGGACACCCCGTTCTCAGGGGAGTGACCACCAGCAAATCTGGCTTTCATTCGTCTTTTATCTGTCTTCTCCTTGATTCTGGGATAAGTTCAGATTGGTCACCTGTCCATTGTGGAGCAAATTGCTGGCTAGTTGTAGGAGGTTGGTGAAAATGCTCCTCTTGGTGTGGGCTTTGGAAACATGATCTGCCACTTGAATCACTTTAAAAGATTAGGAGTAGGGTGACATGGTAGGCATCCTACTGGTCTCCCAAAGATGTTCTTGTCCTAATTCCCAAAGTCTGTGCATATGGTACCCTGCATGGCGGAAGAGACTTTGCAGGTGGGATTAAGTTAAGGTGGGAGATAATTCTGGATTATCCAGATGGGCCTTGCGTTATCACAATGGTCCTTAGAAGAGGGGGGCTGTAGAGTCGGAGTCAGGGATGTTTGAAGATGCTGCTCTGCTAGCTTAGAAGATGGAGGAAGGGGCCAGGACCCAAAGGATGCAGGTGAGAAGTACGGGGCAAGAAAGTTACTTTTCCCCTAGACCCTCCACACTGTTCACTCCTTGATTACAGCCCAGAAGACCCGTTTCAGACTTCTGACCTGCAGAGCTGTAAGGCAATAAACTTGTGCTTTTTTTAAAAATTTAAGATTTTATTTATTTATTTGACAGACAGAGATCACAAGTAGGCAGAGAGGCAGGCAGAGAGAGAGAGGAGGAAGCAGGCTCCCTGCTGAGCAGAGAGCCCGATGCGGGGCTCGATCCCAGGACCCTGGGATCATGACCTGAGCCAAAGACAGAGGCTTTAACCCACTGAGCCACCCAGGCGTCCCACGTGTGCTATTTTTTTTTAAAGATTTTTATTTATTTATTTGACAGAGAGCACAAGCAGAGGGAGCAGCAGGCAGAGGGGGAAGCAGACTCCCCACTGAGCAGAGAGCGGGACCTAGGGCTTGATCCCAGGACCCTGGGATCGGGACCCGAGCTGAAGGCAGATGCTCAACCGACTGAGCACCCCCCAGGCATCCCAAACTCATGCTGTTTTAAGCTATTAAATTTGCACGTTACAGCAGCGATAGGAAAGAAATTCAGACGGAGTGTGCTGGACGTGCCAGAAGCCGTCGTGCCCGCCTCACCAGCGCTTTCAGTGGCGGGGGAGGGCTGGTCTGGACAAGCCACTCTTTCTGGAACATGGGGCTGCCTTCATTTGACATTCTAGAGCCCTGTCCTCAGGCTCAAGGCCATGGCCCCTTTAGTGTACTGAGTCCCCCATCCCCATCCCCAGTCACCCTCTTGTATCCTCTGGGACATCATTCTTGTCTTGTGAGAATAAAGGAGACAAAGGCCCAGAGAGGGGACTATCTGCACTGAGGGCACACAGCAAGCTCTGCACAGGCCATTCAGAATGGAGGAATACAGAAAGAAGCAGGAATATCCCTTCCCCACTGTAAAAGTTTTGCTTGGGGGATATTAAGGCCAGAGAGGAGAAGGGACTTGCGGGTGGTCACAGTCAGGCCTGGAAGGGCCCGGGGAAGTATGTCTGCATTTAGCCTGCTCTGGCATTGACTTTGTCTCGTGCATTGGGTCGATGGATCCCTGCGTCACTCAGACTCCTTCCCCATAGGGGCTGGGCCAGCCTTCGGGGTTAACTCCTTTCTTCCCTCAGGAGGAGAAGATGCGGAAGGAGGAGGAAGAGGCCAAGAAGCGGGCGGAGGACGACGCCAAAAAGAAGAAGGTTCTGTCCAACATGGGAGCCCATTTTGGGGGTTACTTGGTCAAGGTGAGTTCAGCCTGCTGGGACCTAAGGTCTGTGTTCCCAGGGAGGAGGCAACTGAGGGCCTAGACTCCTGGTTCCTGACGGAGGTGGGGGTTGGGAGCTCCAACTCCTGGGTCTGAGGGAGGAGGGGACTGGGACCTGGACTCCCAGGTCTGAGAGAGTAGGGGCTGGGGGTCTGGACTCCTGGGTCTAAGGGAGGAGGGGCTGGGGGCCTGGACTCCCGGGTCTGAGGGAGGAGGGGGCTGGGGGTCTGGAATCCTGGGTCTGAGGGAGGAGGGGCTGGGAGGAGGGGTCTGGACTCCTGTGTGTAGTGACATGGTGGTGAGGAGCCCAGCCCTGGGTTCTGATCTATCCCACAGTTCAGCATGTCCCCTTCCCTACCCTCAGGCAGAACAGAAGCGCGGTAAGCGCCAGACAGGACGGGAGATGAAACTGCGCATCCTTTCTGAGCGTAAAAAGCCTCTGAACATCGACCACATGGGAGAAGAGCAGCTCCGGTAGGTGGGATGGGGGGCTCAGGGTGGGAGGGGGCTGGTTGGAAGACGGCGAGATAAGGGGACCCCTACAAAGCTCTGGGAGGGTGGATCCCAGGTCTGAGCCCTGGCGCTGTGTGACTTTGGCAGGTGCGTCTCCCTCTCTGGGCGGATGCCCTGTTCTCTTCCCTGGGAGACGTCACTGATATAGGACCTACTTTTGTGGGTATCGTGAGCTGTAGAGTCTGGGAGGTGATATGGCGGGAAGCCAGACAAGATGGCTCACTAAAAGTTAAGAGATTATGTTGACCTATTGATGTGCCCTGGAAACTCAGAAAGGCCCCATCTTTACGTGAATTAAAGCCAGACATGCTGGTGAGAAATTTCCAGCCAAGTCTCTGCCCCGTGGGACTCTATCTACCCCTTTACCTCCCATTCACAGAACAGCCCACGTCTCGTGATAAGCCACCAGAGGGAAGGCTGCAGAGGGCTGTTCCTTCTGGGCCCTCAGTGGTAGCTTGATGTTCTCTGGTTTGGGCATGACTTACGAAGTCCAAAACCCCCACCTCCCCAGAAGCAGCACAGTGAGGGGGGCTGGAGCTCAGTGCCCACTCTGCCTCTTACCCACTATGGGTCATAGGCACATTATGTAATTTCTCTGAGCCTCACTTTCTTCACTGGTAAAACGAGGCCAGGATAACGAAAGTCTACCTCATGCACCCGTGGAAGGTCAGTGAGGTGATGATGATTGATCATGATGGTGACGGTGGTGGTGATGGTGGTGATGGTGGTGGTGATGGTGATGGTGATGATGATGGTGATGGTGATGGTG